TCCAAGAAAGGACTGGACAAGGCATTCATCTGAAGAATTACTTAATTGCAACAATTGCCACATCCCTACCAATTCTGTTTTTAAAACTGGTTATTGCAGCAACGTAGTCACTTACACGTAAGTGAAACAAGGAGTTTAAAAGTATTTAGCAAGATTATTTTTTCTATTAAAAACAGCTCTGAGGTAGATTTGCACTCTCATACATAAAATCATAAACAAATGCATTCCAATGTAAACAGCTAATAGTAGGTACATTCAGAATTGTTCTGTTCTGCAACTATGAAAGCTAAACTACCTACATATTGTAAGTTTAGTTATGGAGGATGACCCAATGATGTGCTTTAAGAGAATTGGGGGTGACCAGGGAAACAAACATGCTTTGCCACAGACTTTGGCAGAGGGAGGCTCAGGGAAAACTAAAGAGAGAAGGAAAGTAAGAGATAAGATAAGATGGTGAAAGGCAAAAGTTTGTATCAGTGAGATCTGCTGCTAACTATGCCCCTTATTTGTAACTTTGCAAATACAATGGAGATGCAAAAACAGGCTGGAAAATTCCTCTGAGGAGAAAAATCTATACCCCCTATATACCCCTCTCCCGTATCTTCTTTAGCAATCTTGCCTTTGGTTTCAGTGTAACATGAACAGACCTATCTCCTTACAAAAGCTCTCCTCTTCCCACCACCCTTGTTTGTTATTTTATGTGTTTCTGCATCATTTGCAGAGTTAGCTTTGATCTACATTCCTCCTGGATGTGCAGTTTCCTTTTCGGCTACCAAAAGGAAAACTGTTTGGTTTGAGAATTTTGAAGCTTATTTTGACGCTTCGCTGGCTCAAAATACCCATTTTTAATCCAAATGAACATAACTCGGTGCTTTCACCTCTTCAGCCCAGGTTGCCTTCCTTTCAGGAAAAATCTCTTTGAACAATAAGTGACCACTTCATACTCTAATAAAATGTCCAAACTGTAATCCCAGCTGGCATAAATGAGAGCATTCTGTTTGCTACAGCTGGGTTGGAATATTGACACTCATACATAATTTGATCCTTGAATTGCTTTCATTTTAGCATCATCCTGAAATGTTCAATGTTTTGTGTCACATCTGATACCCACTAACATATACCATGCTGCTCTAAAGCATTATCAGAGCAGGTAATTAGGAATTCTCTCAACATTTCTTTATTACAGACCCAATCTGTCTTCCACCAATGGCAGAATTCTTGCAGCCTCCAAGGGTTGATTGGACTTTGGTGCAATTGCAAAATGGCTGCAAATCCTTCTGCATGGAATATGTGATGCTGAATCTGAAGTCTGTGCCATTTTAATCCTTCCTCCTTCTCTAGCAAGCATCACAATGAGACCGCACTAGGAATAGTCCATAGACAAAACACAGTTCACAAATAACAGGTAAACAATCTTCAAATGAGAAGAGAAGCCAGGACACATCCTTGGATTGACTCTTTGACTGGGAAACAGGATATATTCTTCAAGGACCTTGCAGGGATGGTCCCAGAGGACAATTAGAGATTAGATCTTCTCTTCTTTGGGGTTAGGCCACAGGAGTTAACTTGGGAAACAATTCACATAAACAAAGTGCTAGCGAGAGGAAGGGCACTGTCAGATTCTGCTTCTGTGTCTTTACTAGGCATGGGCCTCCATGTCAAGCTCCACTTTCAGAACTTGGTTTCAAATGCTAACACAGCATTAACTGACATCACCACTACTAAAAAGGAGCAACACCCCGAGATTCTGGAGATTAATTAACTATTTTGGGAAGATTCTTAATGAGATAGCCTAGAATTAGAGTATCCTGATCCACTGACTAAAAGTAAGTAAGTAAAATGTGCTTAGTATCACTCAGTGGATACTGAGCTCCTTTCAGAAGAGCAAGTGCAGAACCTAGGAGACTGAGGCTCTTCTCATCTGCAGCCTGGTCTATTACAAGCAGTCAAAGGCTGAGTTGCTCTCTATGAATAATTCTTGTTTTAAGAAAAAATTGGTGAGGGAAATTCGTATTCAAGTGCCTGTGTGCACATAAGCAGTGGGAAAAGTGTTCCTACTCTGCAAGAAGAAAAAGATTCCTCAGAAAAACACAGCCATGTCCATTTTACCAAAGTAAATACTAAGAAAACTGTTACCAGGAATAAGTAATACCTGAGAATGACTTCCCTTTTTCACACAGATTTCCTCCTTATATTTTATATATAAAAATACAAGGAGAAAAAATAATATGCATGGAGCAATGTGTATGCCCACAATTATAGGAATTATGAATATGAATTATGAATATAAATTATTGAATTATGAAGTCTAAATACAATGTCTATAAAAATTATGAAGAAGCTTTGCTGTAAGAGGAGACACATATATGCACTTGTAAACTGTTCTGTGTTCAATCTAAAATTGAGCAAATGGAAGCTGTTTCCTGCTAGGTGTATGTGGATGAGGCTATTGCTGACTCTAATGTGGTTTTCTGTACACGCTCTCTTGAAACACATTTCTCTGCATCTCTAAGATATAAGACTTTAATAATAAAGATGCATTAAACAGTGTTGCTGTTCCATATAGTTCTTTCTCCAAAGCCAAATTCCACATCTAGGAAAGTGAGCAGATTAAAATATCACAAAAGAAAATTATTACTTGCACCTAAAAAGCAATGCCAATGGACAATCCAGGAAAACACATGGTTTCTATCCTTGTTTAATTAGAAGTGTCCAGAAGCACACCTAAACGGTAAACCTCAGATAAATAAGCTAAAAGCAGGAAAACCCCTGTGTCCCAGCTGGCAATGCACTACAAAAGCAGCACATCAGGGCTACCCCAAAGCCCAGCCCCGAGCAGAGCCTGCTCAGCTGTGCTGCCTGCCATCTTCTGCATTGTCAGGACCACAGCTTGCATCATTAAGACTTGAAACTGATCCACTTCAGTGATTAGGCTGATCCAAGGACACGGACAGAAGAGCAGGATTTAATGGGCAGGCAGGCAGGAAAAGTCTTTTAACACTTTAGAAAACATTGACTTGGTGGAAGGAATTGGCTAGCTCAAGGGATTAGTAATGAGATACTGAGCCCCTTAGCTCTAGGTCACCACACTGAATCTGGTCCAGGTCAGCAGAAATCAAAAGCTGTTGCTGTTCAGTGGCCTTTGGGAATCAGTTGGTGGTCCCACCCCAGCCACCTCTGGCAAAATATCTGTACCAACACTAATGATAACAGTTGGCAGCACTTACAGGAAAGGTTGAGGGCTGGCACAGTACAGGAAAAGTCTGAGCAGAGAAAGATGTCCCTGCAAGCACACTAGGCTGTGACTCAAGAAAAATGAGAAAACAAGTTCCCTCATCTTCTACAGATTTCCAGTGTGACTTGGGGCATGAAATTGAGAATCCTGTTCAAGAAAACTCTATTTCCTCACTGCAATGGTCTTCACAAGGCATTTAAGGCCTAAACATCTCTGAAGCTCAGACCCCCACCTTTAAAATGAGAATAATTAGCTTGAAGTGCTTCTTCTGCAGGGAGATCCTGAGTAAAGGGGAGATATAGAAGCTAAACAAGAAATCAAGACAGGGGAGCAAGTTCTTTCCAAGTAAAATCAGCTCCCCTACCTCCAAAGCAAGGCATTTGCTGCATATGCACCCACAAAGCTCTGTGTTTCAGGTGCTTTATAAAAAGGAAATAACCCACATTTCCCTTACAGCAGAGTACCCCCAGAAAACCCCAAATTTCCACTGCTGCCCAGCAGAGCCACATCAAAGAATCCAACAGCTCCCAGCTTTTATCCCATTGAGGATGAAATTCTAATGTGTTGTGCAGGAGGTCAAATAGATTATCATAATAGCCCCTCTGGCCTTAAAAACTATGAAATTGGAGAATGAATCACAAGACATCAGTCACCATTGAAGGCAGGATGGTAGGCGGCAGAGCTCAGTGAGAGGGTGTGATATGGCAGAGTAAATCCAATGTTCTTAGGCCCTGTGAAGCTGGGAAACTGACATTTTGCCTTCTTTGATGCCCCTCTGGGACACGCGAGAGATGCAGGTTATTATAACAATAAGCCCGGTCCGCTGTCAATGCGGCCTAAGAACTCTTACGGGAGTGAGTGCGTGAAGGATTGAGAAACACTAGTTATTTTCAAACTGGATTAAGTCTTTCAAAAGCTAATAGGTTTCCAATGAGCTGTGGTGGTGCTGCTGCAGCTGCTCTAATTTGAGAATAAAAGAATGCAGGCTTTGTGCCTAGGGACCTGTTATTGATCCGAGCAAGAAGGATGAGAAGGAAGGGGGTAGAGGAGGGTTATCCTCCTTTCAGCTGGGGCAGGGGCGTTCCTTTCAAAGTCACATTATCTGCTAGTAACAACAAAACCTAACCCCATGACATGCTGCTCTATACAGGATTGCACTTGTTGAGAACTGAAAGCATCAGAGAAAAGAAACCTCCACTGGCAACCTCGGGCAGCAAACTGCATTGAGGGCCCACGAGACTCAACAGATGGGTCTCGAGAGTCCCTCATTAGGAAACGTGCCTGTCCCTTTGCATCTGCTGCCCCGCTCCATGCCACGCAGTCATTAGCATTGCAGGCTCACAGATTCCTTAGCACGTGCTTCCAATAAATATTGGAGAGAAAGGAGGAGACGGAAGCCACTGCTTGGAGCAGCGAGATGAGGGGTAAAGTGGCCACTTAGGAAATCCTTACACACACACACACTCACACACACACACACTCACACTCACACACACACACACACACTCACACATGCTGCCCCACAGCAGGGAGGACAATAAAAGGCAGCCAACCACAAATGTGCAGTTAAAGGGACAGGTGTGGAATTGCTCCTATTCAAGTTGTGGCAGATCCTCATTCGTTCCTCTCTGCCACAGTAAATAAAAATCATCATTATATATAGGAAAAAAACCTACAGTTCAGGGCAACACACAGATTGTGGACCTACAAGAGTCTGTGGCCCCTTTCAGACAGAAAGCTGGAGCACACTGGGTAATGCCATTACCTTCAAAGAAGTTAATTGGTTTTAAGGGTCCAATTCTACAGCCAGGCTCCTTTGCTTTCAGGTCTTCACCAAGCTGTCCTGCTGCCACAGTGCCACAAATAAGGGATGTCCTTCACCCCACCTGGAGTGGTCCAGCCTCAGGGCTGAGATCAGGAGCAATTGAAGAGAAAATCATTTCCCCTGTGCTTGAAAACCTGGTGAGACAAAACAGCTGTCAGGGAGGCAGGAATGGAAAACCTTCCAGGTACTGTGGAAAAAGCAAAGACAAACCTTTAACCAGAGAGGCAGGGTGACCGGGAGCTGCACTTGCTCAGACTCTCAAGAATAAGTCCCTATATTTGCCACCTCTCCCCGATGCCCCTAGACTGTTCTTATTCCAGTCCTTCTCATTTGCTCTATTTTCCACTACCCTGCTGGAAGCTGCAAGCATTTTGACCACAGCTAACTCCAGAGTGGGACTAGAAGAATCTCAAGTGATGAACGGTGTTAGATACAAATCTTGTCCAAAATGCAGAATTTTCAACACCAAAACTCACAAATCAGTGCAAACTCTGACTCTTCCAAATGCTGCTGGCTCTAACACCCAGTCCTGTCAGATCTCCAGCTGCAAGATCACTGACAGAAAAGTCCTCAATACACATCTGCAGGTAGTAGCACTGTTGTGACACGCAGAATGGTCAAGAGGCTTTTTTTCATTCGTGTGTAAAGAATGAACACAGAGAAAGACATTTTTTTCTCCCCTTGTTTTTATCTGTACTACCAAGGACACCAGCCACCTGCTGTGGCCTGTGCTTTATCTAAAAACATTTAGCTGATGCAAAAAGGCTCCTTCCACCAGGGAGTCAGCAGTGCCAAGGGATGAGGTAAAAACAGACCACTGTGCACATCCCTAGCTCCCTGAGGAAAGGGCTTCCCCTGTAGATCAGCAGCATCACTCCCATGCAGTGAACTTTGTGGCCCAACCCACTGGCCACTGCAGCAAGTTACTTAAACACATCCCTAAACTAAAGTTTTTGTTTCTTGATTTAGGCACATCTGTTTTGGGCTGAAATTGGATTTTAGAAATCTTAATATCTTTAAAAGTTTCTTCAGGCCAAATGAAACAACTTCCTTTATTCCCCATGCAGGAATACGTAAAGTCAAGGCCCAGAATATTAGATCAGGTGGGGAATGATGGCAGGCAAAGGCAATAAGTCATTTACTGTACACTCAAATTTAAATCTGCTAATCACAGCTCTCTTCTCTTTAGACGTTTCCTTAGCTAAATGACAGTCCTGTGTACTTCAGTCTTGCACCTACAGGCTAATTTGTGATTGAGAACATATTGAACACATACTTTCACATGCAATTAACAATTAAAACAATCTGCATGAGAAGAGAAGTTCAGCATTTTGATGCTGTCATGACAAGCAAATGAATATTGGTCTGAGCACTTCCTCAACAAAATTGGCTCAAAGCACCTTTGCAGAAAGCTGTGAGGAAAACACTACTTGAAACTTGGAGCTCTTTGAATGCACCCCATTGTTCACTGGAGATGGGGCTCAGCCCAGGTTTCAGCGCAGCCTCTTTGACAGGAATAGCCGAGGTTGCTGCTTATCGAATGAAAGTGTGATCTTGTCTGTGACAGGCGTGCCAGCACTGCTCAGTGTCACAGTCTTTGCACCTACTGGGAGCTACTCCACCTTGATAAGCTGTACCCCTACCCAGATCTAAAACCGTGGTCTCAGCTCTTCCCTGCTTTTAGAAAGTGGGGATTTGAGATCAAATCACAGCTGCACAGGAATCCCACCCCTGGGAAGGATAAGTGAAGGACAAAGCAGTTGGGTCCACAGGTTAATGTGGAGGTATCTGATCCTTGAAGGGTTAACAGAGAAACAACCAGAGAGCAGGTTTTATGTGCATATAAATAAAGGAAACTGAAGGAGAAACAGCACTATTCTCTGGAATGGAGTAAGGTCCCAATTTTAAGCTGTGACAGAAAGCAATAATGTTATGGATTCACTTAATTACAGTTGGATAAAACATAAAGGCTCTACAACAGATGTATTTTTTGGTACTACAGCTTTAACTCTTTCAAGGACTTTACTGGTTCTCACTGCAGTAATTTCTTAGTACCCCAGACTTCTTAATCGTTCTCTGAGTATCCTCTGAAATAGATTTAGTGCCTCACTTTCACTCTGGGGAATGAGACATTTCTAACATACAGAAAAACTAAGGCGGGAATTTCACAGTGACAAAATGCACATGCACAACAAACACAGCACAGCTTTGAAATTTTAGTTGTCTTAAGCAACACACTCCAGGGAAAGGGGAAAGTAAGGGCTTGTGGCAGCAGACTGGATTTGGGGCTCTGGTTACTAGAGCGTCTTCTTCTCCAAAATCTTTTGTCACATTTGGAAAGCTTGTCTGAAGACATGGCTTTAAGAAATTGCCTGACTGGGAAGAACTGAAGCTTTCATGGAAGTGGGAATGCACTCTTCAGTGCTGGGTAAACTGTGCTTTTTCTCCTAACCTCTGCCACTTGCTCAACTTTCTCATCAGTGGTAGTTTCTCCCCTGCTCCATTTGTGAAATAGTCTAACACCGGGTGTGGCTTCCCCACAAAACGCTTCCTAATTAGTTTCTAAGCATTAAGTGATTATGGAAGCGCAATTCCCATTCCACTCAGGTGATGAAAAGCTTTACAGGAGTTCAGTCTCACTTTGTAATTAGAGAAATTAGCTTTCTAAGTTTAGATCACTCAACTGTGCAAATGGGTTCATCTGCTGGAATGTGTTGCTCCGAAATGCGTGTCAGCCGAGCAGCACGGCGCGGTCCCTATCTCTGCTCCGCGACACTCGCCCAAGTGGGCAGGTCACTTCCAGAACAGCCAGAGGAAAATGAAGTGTTGTGGGTGTATTATAGGAAAGGCCTTATCTGAAAGCTCACTCATCCGTGATTGACTGTGGCGATACGTCCTTCTCCTTGCAACAGGGAAGCTTAACTCCTAGATAAAGGATTAGCCGAGAGGATGAAATTTCACTCTTCCACTCAGTTTGTCCAGGCTTACATCTAAAACTGCAGCAAATTTATTTTATTGGCTAATTTCAAGGAGCAAAACTACTTTTATAAAAATCTGGAGGAACAAAGGGCTCCTTTAGCCTCTTCGTTTGCTGTGAAAAGAGCTCATTGAGCTTTATGAATTCTTTAGGACCACAGATTCCACATGTCAACATTCTTTTCTAGTAGTCCTTTAACTGGTTTATAGAAGGCTGATGCAGTGTCAATGCCCTATGATTATGCAACTGTCTTGGTCTGCATTACAGTAGTAAACAAAAGTTTAGTCACCGACTTGAAAAGGAGATGCATCAGGTCCCTGAACGAAGAACTTTTCCAGGGGCGCCATTCCAAGCTTACCTTCAGGTATCACAAATCTAAGGAAATCCTGTGGGATTGTTCACAGCCGTGGCTCAATGAGTCACCGAGCTTTAAAAGGAAATTACAACTTTCCTCACACAAAGAATTGACTTCACGACACCTGACCCTCGTAAGCCAGACACTCCCTCTAAAGGCTGTGATCCTGGTCCCACCGAAGTCCTGGGCAATCTCCCAGTGGCCTCAATGAGCAGCTCTGTATTAGGGAGCTGATTCAGGCCCAAAGGTTGAATTGAAGCACTGCCTGTAACGCTGGGCTTTGGCACACTCGATGTCTGTAAGGGCTTCTAACGTGGATGTGATCTAATTATGTCGGAATAGGAAGATTAGCAGGAAGTAACTTTACGCAATGTAAAAAGCCCAGTGCCAGACGCTGAAAAGTTCTTCAGCAGCCACAGAGGAAGACACGTCGGCTCCACACCTTGTGAGACGTGCAGGCAGAGCCTTGCAGCAGGGATTTGATGTGCACTGGTCTCTGGCTGCTCCAAGCAACTGCAGTTCAGGGCCCTGTGCACATGCAGCAGTTTGCACCCTGCTGTGCCCGTAGTGAAGGGAACATCTTGAAGAGATGCTCAGGCTGCAGGCAACGTGCTCTGCTGCTTCTCACTGCTCCGTGCACTGGCTCAAGGGGCCACTGGGTCTCTGGGCTCTTGACAGTCCAGAGAAAAAAAGCAAGAGATGCGACTCCAAGGAGGAAATTCTAGACTAAATAAGTTTAGGGGGATTTCACTGAGCTCAACATTTCTTTGAGGGCTGCAAGGGAGAGGGTTTGCAATGCGCTTCTGCACATGATTCATGCTCTGCCTTGCTTTACCTATCACTAATACTCTCCATCTCAAGACACTGGGAGACTTAATTCATTAATGCTTGCAAAGCATTTTAAGTTGTTGGACAAGTAATTCTGTTTGAGGGCAGCTACACTGCTGAGTCACAAGCACTGTGGGAAAGAGGACTCTGGATTTCCTAAGCACTGGAGTCAAACAGGTGGAGTAACCTTTTACAGAAAGGCCAACTCCAGACCTGCCCTAAAGGTATGGAGCATACCAGCAGCAGCAGGATATTTAAAGACCCAGAGGAGCAGATGTGTGGCACTTGGGAATGAATAACATTTAACCAGGCTGTGGAAGCTAACCAACACCCACTGGGAAAAGAGAAGAGAGGCACTGGTATCACCAAACTGCAGCCATGTTGCAGATTAAACACCAGGAAGGTCTACCAGCCTTTGAAAAGTTAATGAATCCAACGAGATATGACCAATGCTGCTGGAACCTGGGGGCTGAGCAAGGCTGGAAGGAGTATTCAGCAACTGCGCACCTCACAGGCGTGCCAAAATTTCCAGAGTGCAATCTAAGTCATGAACTCACAAATGGGAACAGGATCTGCAGGAGTCAGGTGGAAGTCTGAGCACAGTTCTAAGGTGAGGGGCACAAATACCACCAGCTTTCCAGCCTGGGGCACCCTAGAACAGGACAGACCTCACCACAGTCAAGAACAGGCACTTTGCTTTTGCCATAGGAAATGAAAACAAAGGATATAAAATTAGGTCAGAAATCTTGTTTTCCTTTGTACCACTGACTCTGGTGTATAAAATAGACATTCACACATCTACTGTGTTAGATCAGGGTGGAATAGATCAGGACATAAGAATAGCTGTTCTGGGTCAGACCGAACGTCATATAGGCCAAGTTCCTGTCGCCAGCGCCTCAGGAAGAAAGGGACAGTGATGCAGCGAGTTCCCAGCACAGTCACCCAACTTCTAGACCCGCAGCCCAGGGACTTCCCAGAGACAAAGTTAGGGGTGGGGTTTTTTTTGGTTTTCTTTTTTTTTGTTCAATGCCCTTTGATGTGTGCTCTTCCTTTGGGAACCAGTCTGAACTCTTTTTGCTACTGTGCAAACTTCTGGGCTTCTCAGTAACCTGCGGCAGGGAGTCCCTTAAATAAGTCACCTGGCTGTGTGGCTCTGGACCTTGCTCCTCAAGGGATGTGCGGCAGAGCAACCTCAGCACCCACCTGAAAACTGGGATGAGGCTCTGCAGCGCGGGCACAGGGTCTCTGATGGTGTCGGCACTCTGCCAGCACTGCGCTGCCGGCACTGATCAGCCGAGGGATCTTTCCTCCCCTGGAGCGCGGCAGGCCCTCGGCGGCGCGGCCTCGTGTTGAGGCGGGCACGAGTCGCACGGTGGCGACTGCCGCCTCGCTTCCCTCAGGGCAGCGCCGGCCGGGGCTACCTGAGCGTCCCCTCAGGGCGCACCGCCGCTCCGGCAGCGCCCCCGGCCCGCCCCGCCTCGGCCACCGAAGGGCGAGAAGGGCAGGCGGCCGCCGCCGGCCGCTGACAGGGGAAAGGTTTCACACCGCAAAAAGTGTCCCCCAAAATGCTTCCTTCTTCCTTCCACCAGCGCCGAGGAGGCGAGGAGGACCGGGCAGCGGCTGCCGTGCGGGCAGGACCCGCGCGTCCCCTCAGCGAGCGGCGGGGCGGGAAAAGCCCTCAGCCGGGAGCGCCGCTGAGGGAGCGCCGGGGCCGCCTCAGCGCGGCTCCTCCTGCTCCAGGTCGCGCTGGAAGCACCTGCGGAGCGGCGCTTCCCGAGGGACGGAGGCTCGGGGCGGCCGGAGCGCGCCGCCTCCCTCAGGCGGGGGAGCCGCGGACCCGCGGCTGCCTCCATCGCCGCCGCCACCGCCTCCTCCCGCCGGTACCTGCCGTCCCCTGCCCGTGCCATTCCCCTCCTCTGCTCCCTCCTCCTGCTGTCCCCCTCATGCATATGGATGGGCGCATGCGCCGGCCGCCCTGGGCTAGATGAAGCGGAGCGGCGGCGGCGCTCCCAGACGGGCGGGCGGCTGCGGGGCGGTGCGTGTGCTGCATGTGCGTGCGTGTGTGTGAGTGAGTGACTGTGCGTGTGTCTCGGGGGGGCGAGGGGCTCCGCCGCAAGAAATAAAAGGACTGGGATAATAATCGCCATAATAAAACAAAAAGAAAAAAAAAGGAGAGAGAGAGAGAAAAGAAAAGGGAAAGAAAAGAAGGGAGGCGAGAGAATAAGGCGGATAAAAGGAGGCCGGGCTGCTTTGCATTGAAGAGCGGGGCGCTATTGAAAGCGCTTGAAAAGCGGCGTTGTCCGGCGCGGGTGCGCCGCGGTATATTAGAGCGGGGCGGCGGCGGCGGCGGCAGCAGCGGCGGCGCCTCCTCCTCCACCACCAGCTCCTCCGCCTCCTTCTTCTCCTCCTCCTCCCTCTGGCCCTCCCCGTCCCGTCCCGACGCGGAGCGAGCGGCGGCGGCGGCCCTGCAGGCGGGCGGGCGGGCAGCGCGGCGGCGGCATGCGTGCGCCCCGGCGGGCAGCCGCGGCGGCGTGCTCCATCCTCACCCTGCTCCTGGCGCTGCGGGCCCAGGTACGTACCGGGCACGGCCTCGCCGCTCTCCGCGGGGCTGGCGGGTCTGCCGGAGCCCGGACGGGCGTGCTGCACGGCTCCTCCGGCCGGAGCGGGGCTGCTGCCCTGACTTCTCTGGAGATGGCAAACGCGGGAGCGCTCCTTGCAGCGAGGCTTAATTCCTGGGAAAGAGAAACGCGATTACTGCAAACCGCTTTTATTTTCCCCCCAAAATCACTTTTTCCCCCCTTTTGTTATTATTTTTAGAAATCTGCTCAGTAGCAGCGCTGCTGGGGCGGTTAATGAGCGGGTCTGAGTCTCAGCTGGGCAGCTCCAGCCGTGCCCGGCTCAGCTGCACCCCGCCGCAGGCACAGGGCTGCTAGGCTGCCTTTCCAGGCAGTGCAGCATGAGCTACATCGTTTTGCTGGGCTTGCTCCTCGCCTCTTGCACTCTTGGTTTAGTTTAGTTTTATTTCCTAACTATTTGGAAGCCTTCCTCGCGCTGTTTTTTTCGGAGCTGGCATTTAAGGTTGTTTTTTTGGCATTAATGGCGTTATTTAGTGGGGCTGATTTATGAGCCCTTCTCATGGATGTGTGATAGGGAAAAGCTTGGGGTGGTTGGCTCTGTTTTATTTTTAACATTATGCATGTGCTTCTTGAAAGCACACTTAGAATTACTTTTTCCTGTCTTCAGAGTTGTTGTAGATTGTGTTTGGGGAGAAAAGTTAGGTAACTGTCTCTTGTTTCTTTTTTTTTTTTTCTTTTTTTTTTTTTTGGTTCGTTTGTTTTGGTTTGGTTTTTTTTGTTGTGTTTTTTTTTTTTTTCCTTCGGTTCTTTTTTGGGATTAACAGGTGACTTTAGCGTCGGGACAGTTCGAGTTGGAGATCTTATCCATGCAAAATGTGAATGGTGAACTGCAAAATGGAAATTGCTGCGATGGCACCCGAAACCCAGGAGATAAAAAATGCACCAGAGACGAGTGTGACACCTATTTTAAAGTTTGCCTGAAGGAGTATCAATCGCGGGTCACTGCTGGCGGTCCTTGCAGCTTCGGATCCAAATCCACTCCTGTCATCGGAGGAAATACCTTCAATTTAAAGTACAGCCGGAATAATGAAAAGAACCGGATCGTTATCCCCTTCAGCTTCGCCTGGCCGGTGAGTTGCTTGAGCTGCTCTGGCTCTGTTGGATGGCGCTTGAGATGTCCTTAGTGAGCTGAGCTCTAACTTCTTGTGCCAAGGGAAGAGGGATCAGGATTTGGGAGGGAGCAGGCATCTTGGCAAGAGCGTCGGGAATCCGCAGCACAGAAATGAGTAAAATGTAGTGGTGTTTTTGTTTTTGTTCCCTGGGGCTCACAATGCGCAGCCTGTTAAATTTGAAAGTCAGATGTGCAGTGAGGGGGATCTAAATGGGTCAGGGAAGCAAACCCAGTATCTCTGCACTTTACAGCATGAATAAGTCTCTTGAGACTTAGAAGGTCAGAAGTTCATTTTTTTTTCTTTTTTTTTCTTAACCAGTGAAGTCTTGGGCTTAAGCCAGAAGAGCAGTGGGTTAGGGGCTGTAGAGGGATCCCGTGTGAAAAGTGTGTGTCATAGCTGGCCTCCTTCCCCGGAGCGTGTTTGGGAAGGCTTCCTGCTTCTCCCAAGGGGAAATCTCACTGCACTGCTCGGTGTGGATGGGAGCTGCTCTTGCTGTTCTTGGTGAAGTAGTTGCCAGCTTCCCTGGGAAGCTGGCTGTGTTTGGAGGTGCTTGTGGACTCCAGAAGCTAAGACTGAGAAAAGCCTGGCTTCAGCTTTTGGTGCGCTTCACCCACTCCTCCCCACAGCACGCCTTTCCCTGGCTACCTGCCTCCTGTGGTCCAGAGATTCTGGCTTCCCTCTAGTTGTGCGCAAAACTCGGTGGCTCGAGGAGGTGGGGCTTTTTGCCAGACACTTTTCCAGCCTTGTCCACTCTAGTAAATACTGGTCAGCCTTGTGGAGCAAAGAGATGGAGGATGGGTGAACCCTTCCTTCGTCGGTGATCCTGCTTTGTTGTTGGCTGGAAAAAATACTCAGACATCGCTGCTGCTTGTTTCTTCTGGGCTGCTCAGGAGGGTTGAAGCTTTGATGGTCAGCTCTGCAGAGGGGCCCTCGGCTCCCTGCAGAGGAAGTGAGGACCATCTTTCCAAAAGGACCGTCACGCAGGCCAGACCCACATGGGCAGGCTCCAGGGCCCCAGGCTCTGTGGACATGGACGGGTGCCATGCCTCGGGTGGCAGGAGGTCACGGGTGTTGTGCCTGGCAGTGCTCTGTGCACTGGGGGCTCCTGTCTGGCTTTTGAGGTGCCTCTCTGGGATCTTGTGGTACGAATGCTGAACGCTCCCAAATTTCTGCTCCTAAAACTTGTATTTTGAGATCACCTAGGAAACAAAACTGTTTCCCCCCTGCCACACACACCCCTTCTCCAAAGGCGCTGAGCAGACAATTTCCTACCAACTGCCTTGGGGTATGTTGATGCTCAGCAGTTTTGTAAATCCAGTCACCCTAACCTAGATGCCTAAGGTCATTTTTGGGAGGGGAGGAGGGCCCTGAATGTGCATGCAGGGGAGGGGTGACTCTCATTTCCTATCCTCTGCCACTATCGCTGCTGGCGAGGTGGAAGCATGCCTAGACCCTCCAAAGCTTGGCCCTTCATGGGCAGATAAGGACTGGTTGCTGGGAGGGCCTGGGGGGAGGACAGCCCGCCCCAAAGCATTCCTTCTCCAGCTGTGGTGTAGACACCCTCTCTGTGGTCCTGCCCCAAGTGCTGCAGGCAGCCGTGTGCTCTTCAAGTGTCCTGTGCTGCCTCCTACCTGCCTCCTCTGTCAGCCGGGACTTGTGGAATATCCAGGGCTGAAGAGGCACAAGGCAGAAATTAAGTCTCCGTTTTTAAGGAGATAGTATTACAAAGTACAATAGCAGAGTTAACAAAAGTATTCTCTGTTGGAAGTACAAGTCTATCCTTTATTTCTTTCTCTTTTTTTCCCCCCTAACATGAAATGAGATAAAACTGTTATCAAATATGCCATCAAAGGGATAAAGGGCTTTGTAAAAATCTGAGGTATTTGAAGCTCTGCCAATGGCTGTAGTGCTTGTGTTGCAGATTTTGACTTTTGTCAGAGAAGTCAGGTACATCAAGGATTTTTTTTAAACTAGCTCCCAGTAACCTGACTGCCTTGAATCTATAGGTATGCATATAAAAATGGTGTGAAAACTAAACATGTTCCTTCTAGGAGCCTCTCTCTTCATAGGGTTGGGAAGGGAAATCTGTGTGTAGAGGGTGGGTTTGGGGGTGGGGACCCTGGGAGAAGTCTCTTAAGCTTGCCTGCATCTTAGCAAAAGAAATGCTTCTATTGTCCTGCTGAATCTCATTCAGCACTGGAATCTTGGAGCAGCAGCAGCAGCAAAACTCCAGTGCAACCTTTGAAATGGGTAAAACTCAACAACTTGAGACGCTTGGTTCATAAGCCTGGGATTTTGGAATAAGCTCTTGCATTTTCCCAGGCAGAAATGCACTTTTTGAGATGCTGATGACAGTCTGTGTGCAATTATCAAGCCTGCTTCCCAGCTTTAGCTTCTACAGGACACAGCTTTTATGCTAGCCATTGTGACTTCCAAATGGCATTTGAACAAAAGAATATCTAATGTGGCAAAGCTCTTATTTGTACTAAAATTGTGTACACAAATCATTTCAGGCATTTTCAAAGCTCTACGGATAAAGTAGTAAACTTAATTTAGTCAGCTCTAATCTGATGCTGAAATTTCAGAACTTAAAAAACTCTTTAGGTGGCTGAATACTCTTGACTTCAGTAAGAGCTTGAGATTAGCATTGCATTTACCCATGTGGCTGATCATGAGAGGTATCTTTGAATACATTCAGCTGAAAATTATAGTAGAGGTAATAAGAGCTAAACCAAAGTGTTAATCATATTGCACTTGAAAATTCATGCCCTTCTCTGGATTGTGTTCTACTCTGAGGGAGGCTTTTCTTGGATGTTCCAGCTTGAGTCAGTAGCAACATTCAGAAGTCTTGTTGCCTTGACTACTTAAAAAAAATTAAAAAGAACAAGCCTCTTCCCATGTCAAGCTGCCCCCTTATGCCATTTGTGAAAAATAGTTGCATTGCATTAGAGGCCTTTATTCATGATGCAGGAGAGGAAGGGGAGAGAATGGGGCGCTTTAAAAGTATTGTTAGAGGGGGCTTGCAGTTGTAATGTAGATTCGAAGTGTCAGGGTCTTATTAATAACTTATGGGGTTTGCTCTTGTCAGTTTTGATACGTTCCCCTGTGAGTAATGGGTATGGAGATGGTGGGCCATAAATTAATTTAAGTGATGGGAGGTTTGAGTAAGTTGCTAGGAAACAGGGCAGCAGCCCAGCATAAAGGAACTGGAGTGGATCAGAAAGCTGCCCCTGCAGTAGCTGGTAATTCTTCAGTGCATTGAGACAATAGTGATGATGATTAAAAAAAGTAAAATGCACCAAGGCTTGCTTCTTACATTCATTTTGAGACTTCACTGACTTTCTTGACAGGCAAGCTTGGCTTTATGAAGCCGTATAAAAAAGTATGGAACAAAAGCATTTCCATGTTCCACTTGTCAAAGAGTTCTGTCTG